GAAGCCAATCAAAGCAAGGAATTGATTGTTATTACTATATAACAATCAAAGGTAATTACTAAACCCTAATTCTAGTTATAGTTTATTAGATCTAGGGTTTATAGCTTTGGATATTCAATTGCATGTTCATTAGACAAACTAGATCCAATAGCTATTAGGGTTTGCATGTACACCATAGGAATGATGTATTGCTCGAAACCCATCATAAAGGTGCCAACTTTATGGCCCTAAGAGCTCCATGCATCTTTTAAGCCCTTGTTTTGGCCTTTTAAACTTCATTTGGCCATGCATGTGAGTAAAGTTGAAGACTTTACGTGACCTTTTAGCCTTTAAGGTCCAAATCTATGTTCATGAGCTCTATCTTGAAGATATGATGGTATTTGGATTAAGTCTTAAGCATTTTTGGATTAGGGTTTAAGCTTAATGCCTTTGGAGTGGTTCTTCATGGGTAAATTTGGAAACTTTACCCTTCTAGACGTAATATCAGTCTAGATCTGGAATATAGGGCTTCGGTTTGAAGAATAGTGGCTTTATGCATTAAGTGGGTTGGCAGACTGATGAACTCGATGAGTTCATAAGGGAACTCGGCGAGTTGGTTTGGGATTGTACCGATTTTGTTGAAAAAGGAGGAACTCGACGAGTTATAAGGAAACTCGACAAGTTGATTTGAAATATCGTGATTTTGTGATTCATGGAAACTCGGCGAGTTGAAGGATAACTCGACGAGTTGAGTCAACTCGGAGTGTTGAATTTGAAAAAGTTTGACCTCTTAGGAGTTTTGAAATATTGATCGGTATCTAAGGGATTGCTTTTTTTTAGGGGTTGAGTAGAGCTGTTTCCGGGGCTGAGGATTTATCCAGTTATCTTTCAGCATTCGAGGTGAGTTTCCTTACCGGGTTTAGTGGGTCGAAGGCACCAAGGCTGGCCCATGTTTACATTATGTTGTTAGTATGCTAGTTGTCTCCGTGACTCTTGCATGTGCTGTGTTTATATGTTTTTCCGGGTCACGGCCCGATGCCGGGTGGGGCCCGATTGATATTTGTATTCTATGTATCTTTGTAATTATTGCATGTGTATGTGTTTATTTGATATATGTTATTGTATGTTGGGCGGGGCCCGTTTTACCGAGCCCAACTCGATGCCGGGCGGGGCCCAATGTCGGACGGGGTCTGAAGCCGGGCGGGGCCCACTATTTGTTTATTGTATGATTGGTATGTGGTATTTTGGGGGAACTCACTAAGCTTTGTGCTTACAGTTTTCAGTTTATGTTTCAGGTACTTCTAGTTCCAGAGGGAAGGGCTCGGGGTGACTGCATCGCACACACAATTGAGATTTTGTTATTATGTTTTACTCTGATTTATGACAACTGATAGATTGGTTTATTTCAATGTTTGGATGATATGGAGAATGACTATTTTATCTAATATTAAATCAAAAAATTTTGGGACCATATTTTTGGATGTTACAATTATTGTATGATGGGTTGGAATATACCCCAGGGCTGGGCCCACTATTGTATGATGGGTTGAGATATACCCCATGGCTGGGCCCATATATGTGTATTGGGTTGAAACATACCTAGGGTTGGGACCATAGATGTGTATTGGGTTGAAACATACCTAGGGTTGGGCCCACTGATTTGTATGATATGTGGTATTTTGGGGAACTCACTAAGCTTTTGCTTATGGTTTTGTGGTTTAACATTTTCAGGTACTTCCAGTTCGAAAGGGAAGGACCCGACGTGATCGCACATCATCCCCATATGATTTCCGCATTAATGATTATTTTACTATGATGTTTTGATACATTTATATTATAATGATTTTGAGACACTTGATGTATGTTTTTGATTATTTCAAAAATGAAAATTTTATCACTGATTTTGGGATGTTACAAAAGATCTACTGGTTCACTATGAGCGGAAATAGAAAATAACCCAAAATATCTTCAATATCTACAACATAACTCCTTATAGAATCTTGTACTTCAAAGATGTTGTTAAAGACATGTTTTGCCTCTCATAATACATACTTGTTTATCCTCCATTTTGTAACACCTCATTTTCACTTTACAATAGAATTTAATACAAACGTCTGTTTATAAAATTTGAAGTGAAAATATATTACTATCTACCATAGAGGCGTACCAAGGTTTAACCCTCATCCGCATCGGTGGGATAAACCTCCAAAATTCCTTGATGATGGGGGATGGCTTTTGTACAATCCGATTTCAGGACCTATAAGCACAAACACATATACATAAATAGAGAGCGGGTGATGGTTTCTAGGTAATCAATATACAAAAGCTCGAACTTGAGAAATTCAGAAAAGAATATTTGATAAATCAAAAGAAAAATAAAAAAATGACAGAAACATGCTTACCAATTTACCGATTCTTCTTCATTTGAAGATGCAAAATCAAAACGGGTTTGTCAAAGATTAGACGAATCTGCAATAAAAGGTGGAGCGGTGAATAAGTCCAGATCTAGGGTTTCTTAAAGTATGTGTGCAATGGTGGTGACGAAGGATGATGTGGTGGTGCATGCGAGGGAGGTCGACGATGGTGGTAGCGAGGATGGTTCCGACGATGATGGGAGACGATAGGTTTTACTTTAGAGAGTTCAAGAAGCTTGGAGAGAAAGACAGAAATTAGTTCTTGAATTCAAATAAACCGATCGTAAACACTTATTTTAAAATCTAGAAGGGTAAATTCAGAAGTTTACTTTGTAAATTTATAAGCTAAGAAGATGTCACTAGGACAAAAAAATTACTCTTTTATTATAATATTTTATTATAATAGAAGATTTAAGACATTATATACCATATATTTACCATCTAAAAAATATCAAATCAACAAGTTATGAATCCTATTCTAATAGTGTTTTTTTACCATTAATAAGTTTTATGATATATTAATCAAAAAGAAATTAATAATGTTTTTTTTTACCATAAAAAAAAACTTATTAGCAAATCATCTTCCATAATATTTCCATTCTTGAACTCCAAAAATATTGGTGGAAATGTGGCATAATGGAATTGACAAGTCTACCGTGACGGCTTATGTTTTTCGTATTTTAAACCTTTTTTTGTTTGTTACTTATTCAACAACGCACCGCCGATCCATCTCTCCCCAAAACTTTTTCCAGTATCCTCTTTTCATCACCACCATTGTTTGCACCCTTTCATCATTTCCTTTTCGAATCTAAAGGTAGGAACTCAACTTTTCTCTCTTACACAATAAGTCGTTTTAATCAATCATCACCAGAAGTCCAAATCGAATTTCGTTATTGTATTTCACAATCGTCCGACAAAACCGCATAAGAATTGATTGATTTTGTATGCTTTTGAGCTGTTAGATCTGCCTTTTCTTCCGATTGAAAGACTATTTTTGCTGATTCTGCAGTGGAGCTTGTTGTTCAACGATGGTGTTCTACAGAAGTGTTTCGCTTCTTTCTAAGCTGAGAAATCGTGTTGTAAGTTGTTTTTTGACTTTTTTTTTTCTTCGTTCCTGTAGGTGTTCTTGATTAGTAGGTAATTTTTATAAGATAATGGATGCCTATACTTACCTAAAGTGTTAAAAAATGACCTACATTTTACGCAAGCTTAACAATCAAAAAATTTATACTGTTGTTACGATCAACGAATTTCAACTAGTAACTAGTACTTAATATGATGTCCAATTTAGTTAATATCCAAACAATATAGAATCCACCATGAACGACCTCTCTGCTTTTTCAAGGTCAACATGTACCCTTTCTTTTTAGAAGAGTATTAACATTAATTTAGTGAATCATTGTCTCTATGCACTCCATTAAGCATCATTTTTATGGTCAACATGGATCATGATCCGATTGTGTTTTTTTCTTAACAGGTTCAACAGCCTAGTCTGACCAATTCAGTAAGGTGGCTACAAATCCAGACCTCATCTGACCTTGTAAGTGTTGATTATCATACTATTCTTCAAATTATAAACTAATATGAACTTAAATTGACCACAAAAGTCAAACTAATGCTATTTCATCAAGAACAAAGAGAACAAGCTTGTTTAATAAGCACAGGAGATACATAGTACATGATTTATTAATTCTTGATTGAGAATTTGGATTCGAAACCTGAATATAGTAATTTTTATATCCATGTAGGACCTTCATGCTCAACTTAAGGAATTGATTCCAGAACAACAGGTATAATTTTCTACATTTATGGTTACATTGTCATGTTCTTTATAAAGAATCTTTTTCTTTCATTATCTTTTTAACTTGTATTGTTTTAATCTTGTAACAGGAGCGCCTAAAAAAGATTAAATCAGAATATGGAAAAGTTCAACTTGGTAACATCACTGTTGATATGGTACAAAATTTCATCTTTCTTTTCTTTTCTTTTCTTCTAACTTCGTTTTATTTTTCATTTTCTTGATAAGTTCTTTTTGTGAATATCTACTTTCTCATGTGATAAAATTATAAAGGTACTTGGTGGGATGAGAGGAATGACAGGTTTACTATGGGAAACATCCTTACTTGATCCAGATGAGGTATTATTCACTTCAATTTTATCATGAGAAAATATTTGTTTTTTTTTAATTTAAAGAAAATTATTTTTTTCTTTTGATAAATCAGGGAATTCGATTCAGGGGTCTCTCTATACCTGAATGTCAGAAAGTATTGCCAGCAGCAAAGCCTGGTGGAGAACCATTGCCTGAGGGTCTTCTATGGCTTCTTTTGACAGGAAAGGTAGACAACCTTTTTCCATTTTTTAATTTTTTAATTGTTTATTATGTTTTTTTTATTCATTTATATATGGCTAAATGCAAGAAATAGTAATGTACTTTTTCTTATTTGTTTTCTATAGCATCATACTTTCCTTTTATTCTCCTACAACATTATACTTCCAATTTTTTTTATCATTGTAAAACTTTCAAATTACATATATATCCTTATAAAATATATCCAAATACTTAGTTTGATCATATTTACTATATTAAAAAAAAATAAAAACATTATCTTTATATTGGTTTTTTTTGTTATTAAGAAAATAATTAACTTATAACATTAAAATATTACCCTTCTTCCACATTGCTATTCTCAACCTATTTACTTCATAAATCTTTACAAAATATTGACACCCACATTGAAAATTAGCTTTTCCATAATTTTACCTGAAGAACAAAATTATTTAGAAGAGAATAAACAAATAAGTAATGTACTTCAAAAAAATCTTCTTAATTATAGCAATGAAGAATAAGATTGCTTTTTAATTGAATGATATTGCTATAACTTGATATATTTTTCAAATTACAATATGCTGTAATAGGAAGAAATGAAAGTATAATAATAAACAAATAATTTTATAATAATTGTGTTATTTATTTATTTATTTTTTTGTTACTTTTAAGGTTCCAACTAAAGAACAAGTGGATGCTTTATCCAAGGAACTTCGAAGTCGTGCAACTATTCCAGGTTTTCTGTTTTTTCAGTTCATATACTTTTTGTTTTTCATTATTTTCTTTAAGATAGTGTATTTCTATTATATGTAGTTTAATTTCTGATTTCTACATAATTTATCTTTTCTATTAAGTATATTAAATTTTTTCTAACTATTGCTAAAATCCATTTAATGTTGCAGATCATGTGTATAAAACAATCGATGCCCTACCTGTAACAGCTCATCCAATGACTCAGTTTACAACTGGTGTTATGGCTCTTCAGGTTTTTATAAAATTATACTTTTTGGAGATTGGAAAATTATGGTTCAATTATTTATATAATAATAATAATAATAATAATAATAATAATTCTAGTGTTATATATAAACCTCAAGTTACATTTCAGTTATACCTCAAAATGTAACTAACTACTAATTATTGTCTTAGGTACAAAGTGAATTTTCAAAAGCATATGAAAAGGGTATCCATAAATCCAAGTGAGTTTATTTGGAGTATTTATCTAGTTGAAAATTGAAATAACTTATTAATTATTTAATGTAAATAAATATTATCCTGCTTTTATTATAGATACTGGGAGCCTACATTTGAAGACTCTCTTTCATTAATTGCTCAAGTTCCAGCTGTAGCTGCATATGTCTATCGCAGGTATATCCATATTATAATATATAGTTAAATAAGTTTTTTTTTTCTTCATTTTTTAATTAATTGGTATAATAGGTTGAGTAAATTATACGAATGGTCCCTATAGTTTAGGGTAATTTGCGCGTTTGGTCCCTAACTTATTTTTTTAACTCGGAAGGTCCCTACTGGTTGTTTTTGTTACACACTTGGTCTCTGTCTTACCTAAAAAGACTATTTTGCCCTTGATTTTTTAATTTATTTAAATAAACACACCCCCAACCCCACCCCACCCCTCACCTTACCTTACCTACCCCACCATTTTTCCCTATTTAATAGTCTTTTTAGGTAAGACAGGGACCAAGCGTGTAACAAAAACAAACAGCAGGGACCTTCCGAGTTAAAAAAATAAGTTAGAGACCAAGCGTGCAAATTACCCCTAACCATAGGGACCATTCGTGTAATTTACTCTAATAGGTTAAGCACTTAATCTTAACAGCTGGACTGATGGTTTTATTTTATGTATTGAAATTTTCTTATGTAGCTTTTAAGTTTGACTCTTTGACTTTTTTTTTAAAGGATTTACAAAGGTGGAGAAAGGATACCTGTAGATGACACTTTGGATTATGGTGGAAATTTTGCACATATGCTTGGATTTGATGGACCTGAAATGCAAGAACTTATGAGGCTTTATGTTACTATTCATAGGTGAGAGATTGTGTCAAAATTCAATTTATTTTTATTTAATAATATTGTTTAAATCTTTCCTTTAATGAAATATATATATAAATTATTGTAGTGATCATGAAGGTGGAAATGTCAGTGCTCATACTGGTCATCTTGTAAGCATTCAACAAATATATGCTTTCATGGATTTTGATTTTTAAATTCCATATGTACATTTGTTTTTTTATTATTTTTATAAAATTGTTGTTTAACAATAATTAGTTTTGATTATTATTTAGGTTTCAAGTGCTCTCTCGGATCCTTATCTTTCATTTGCTGCAGCATTGAATGGTCTAGCTGGACCCCTTCATGGTTTGGCCAATCAGGTATCTTTTATTTATTTATTTATTGTGAAGAGTAATAAGATATTTATTTATTTATTTATTTATTTTGTGTAGGAAGTTTTGCTATGGATAAAGTCTGTGGTGGCTGAATGTGGAGAGAATGTAACCACTGACCAATTGAAAGACTACATCTGGAAAACCCTCAACAGTGGCAAGGTAATACAATTTCTTTATTTAATTTAATTTACATTGTTTAATTTATTCTCCTTTTGGTTATTTAAATTTAATTTATACTTAAAATTAAAATGTAGGTTGTTCCTGGATTTGGACATGGTGTTCTTCGAAAAACAGATCCCAGATACATGTGTCAACGTGAATTTGCATTGAAACATTTGCCTAATGATCCTTTATTTCAATTGGTCAGCATTTAATAATAAACTTATAATCTATTTATTATAATAATTATTTTTTATATCATATCATATCAACTGGATCATGATCTATCTGACTTTTTTTTTTTTTAAATTAAACTTTTACAGGTTTCCAAACTTTTTGATGTGGTTCCACCAATTCTAACTGAACTTGGCAAGGTGAGTTACTTTTTTTTTTTAAAGAAAAAAAGTAAAAAAAAAACTTTAATAATGAAATTTGATTTAGAATTATTCATTTATATACAGGTGAAGAACCCATGGCCCAATGTTGATGCTCATAGTGGGGTGTTGCTTAACTACTATGGTTTAACAGAAGCAAGGTGAAGAATATTATTCAACTTCTTCTACTTTTCTTTTTTATACTAAATGCAAGAAATAGCAACCTACAATTATATGAAATTAATTACATGTTTATATACTTTTTGGTTATTAAACATTTTCAGATACTACACTGTTCTTTTTGGTGTCTCAAGGGCAATTGGAATCTGTTCTCAGGTTACCTCACTACCTTAAATTATACTTCATTTAGTCCCAGTTTAGAACAAAAGACGTAAATGCCCTCCTCATTCTCATTATCAAATACACCCCTAGAAAGCTTGTCCATATGTCAAACGGACAAAAATTGAAACTTTTGATCCACCAAAAAGGGGGTAAAAAGACGGGAATGCCCTTCATGTACTTGTTACTGAAAATAGACTTATGATTTTCTTTTAATTTTTTTTATAGTTGATATGGGATAGAGCTCTTGGGTTGCCATTGGAGAGGCCAAAGAGTGTTACAATGGAATGGCTTGAAAACAAGTGCAAGAAGTGAAAAAAAATCTTTCGAGATTTTAAACCAAAAAAAGTTTTCATTTCATTTTTTTTTTAATAAATAAATCCAAATAATAAGAATTGTTGTAGATACGATATACGAAAAGATTTGATACTAGTCTGGTTATTTGGAGATACACTTTACAAAGCATGCGGATAGTTTGTGTATTTGAGTACTATTGTATGGTTACGTGGCACACTTACTTTGATGTAGTAAATTTACAATTTTATCCACATGTATTTCCAGTTTTGCCTTGTGTGTACACAAGGAAGTGGAAGTATAAGATTAAATCGTTATGGATTTTATGAAAGATGTGATGATGCAAGCAAATATTGCAAAAATATAAAGAGGTTTTGGTTATAATTTTTGTGGTTTTCTTGTAAATCTGATTAACAAATGATGTGAAAGAAACTTCTGGTTCAAGATTAACTATTTATGTAATAATTTTGTTTAAAAAAAATTTATACAATAAAATGATTTTTTGTTGAAATACGATTTTGGTTTCAAACTAGAACCAAAAAATGCAATATCGTAATTGGAACTCGTTATAAATGAAACCAAAATGATCACTTTTCTTAAATACAAAACAATTTGACCTTCTTTTTTGTAGATTGGCAGAATGAGCACCAAGTTTGAAACTTGTCAGGTTACAAAATACACTGCGGATTTTGAAACTATTTTTTTTTTTTTTGACATAAGTCGTTTCGGACTATCCCCTACAATTTCAAATATGTTCATGAGTTTTGAACTTTGTAATCTGAATAACTAAAAGGGTTTAGGTCATTTTTGGTCACTTAACTTTTGATTTTGTACTCATTTGATCGCTTAACTCTTTTTAAGTTTTAAAAGGTCTTCAAACTTTTGGTTTTGTACTCATTTAGTCACTTAACTTTTGGTTTGGTCACATTTAGTCACCTAACTTTTAAAATTGTGTTAATTTAGTCACTAAACTTTTAAATTTTTTCAAAAGTTTAGTGACTAAATGAGCACAATTTTAAAAGTTAGGTGACTAA